ATAGGTTTAGCAGATTTTTTATAAACAAAACGACACGATATCAATTAGCCATTTAGTAATTAAGAGGCAACATACTCGTAGGATCGGACATACGAGTATGTACATAGAAACAAACACATATCCCTCATTGGGCTTCGCCGAAGTTGGGTAAAAATTATAATTTTTTTTGTTACAGTAAGATGAAGCGGAAGATCTTAATTGCACATGACTAATTGCCTAATTAATTATTAAATGTGTCAGTTAATAAATCTCAGAATTCAAATCAGAAGGACAGTAATACTTCATGTTTTATCAAATGGCGTACCTAGTTGTATACCTATTTAAAACAATCACAACTACTTAACACGATTCAAGTAGGTAAAATAAGAGTTAAAGACGCAAAATAAAGTAAAAAAAGCTATAAAAACTGTAATTAAATTTATAACAAAATATTCAACGTAAAACTTTGACGTCATTACAGTTTCATTATTATGAATATAATAGACTTATAAAAATAGTCCTTCAATTACAGTACCTACAACAAGTTTCATTATCTATTCAGTATTCTAAGGCTTAGGTTACATTTAATGGATTCGCGATAAACATGATATTACCTTAGCTCTTTGTAAATGACTCCCGTCATTGTTCGTGGCGGATTGGACGGCTGCATTGTTCACCCTCTTAAAGCAAAGGTAAGACGTTTATTAAGTGTAGTTTCTTGTCAACAATAGACAAATTACTTACAACTATGAAATTAATATCATAGCTACTTCCAACATAACTTTACTGAAAGCTTAGACTAGTTCCTCAAGTTATGGACTTTGAGCAAGTAGCTAGTTAGTGTAATGTCAAAATAATTCATACTAATATTATAAATATGAAAGTGTATTTGTTTGTTTGTCCTTCCTTCACGTCGAAACAGAGTGACGGATTGGCGTGATTTTTTGTGTGAGGATAGGTAAAGGGCTGGAGAGTGACATAGGCTATTTACTGCGGGAGATTATCTCATTCCCACGGGAAAACACGTTATAATTTAATCCAAAAAAATATTTATGATCAGAATTACTTGAAACTTGGTATTAAAGATCTTCAAAAAAATTGAATAAATGCGTGTTTTAGCATTTTTCGAAATTCATCCTACAAGGGAATAAAATAGTGGATAAAAGTTTGTATGGGACTACTTTTTAAAGATTTTTTTTGTAGAATTATCGCGAGCGAAGCCGCGGGTTCTGCTAGTAATTGTAATAAATATTTTTCTTTAATACTACCTCAAAGGAAATTTTAATTACATTTCGTATAATATACAAACCTTACGGTGAAGACAAACATTGTGAGGAAACCTGCATGATTGAGAGAACCTAGCAAGTTTTCGAAAGACATGTGAAGTCCGCCAACCCGCACTTGGCCAGCGTGGTGGACTATGGCCTGATCCTCCTCGTATTAAAGGGAGGCCCGTGCCGAGCAGTGGGACGTTAAAAAGGGCTGAATTCATATACAAAATAGGTTAGTCCTTACAGAAAGATACAAAAAAAGTTGATATCACAAATAGTCAGTATTCACATGATGCCAAATAACACGATATTTCCATTTCAATGCGAATCGTTGAATAATAAAAGGAGAGAACCGAATGAAGTTCCCAATTATGGTAGTGAATTTTAATATCACCTATGAATTTCTATTAAGGAAAACTGGATAAGTGAGGACGACGGACGTGGAAAGGTCAGAAGGTATTATCATATTTTAATATCGATGCATCAATATACAATCAGTAATGTGGCTCATTTCATTTTGACATTTGTTTACAAAGTTTCAATATTGCGGCTGGGATTTAAATTTTAAAACATGTTACCGTTTGTTGATTTTAAGCGCAAGTCGATATTTGATTAGTCCAGTAAGGATATGAAATGTTACAGGCTTGCCGCGTACGTTTTGCAGTGGATAGGATAAGTTGAAACGTAGCCTACATATGCAATTCCGATATCAGCATTTCCTGGGAAACTTGCGACCTGGAATTAATACATTTACCTGCGCTGAAACTGCTTGTTACAACGAGATATTTTGAAATAATAAAAACTACAACTGCGCATGATATATTAAATTTATCAATATTATCATTTTCTTAGCAACTAAATACATATATTCTAGATAGATATTATCCTCGGCCCTAATGTTCTATATATTGGATTATGGAAAATTAAGAGTCTACGATACTTAAGAAAAGCTACGTTTACACTGTAAAGTGTACATTAAATATTAGAAGATTGATTGCTTAACAATTAACATACTTTTTTCAAACTTAGCCTGTTTTTTTCTTATTATGTTTTTTATTACTTAAATCATAGTACCAGTCGATAAGTCTAATTTTAATGTTCAAATTGATTTATCAGACATGCGAATATTGGTGACATGGAGAAATACAAAAACTCTCAATAAAATATGCATTGTTTGCGTATGCATTGTCGGAATAATATCGGTGATGCTGCAAGCATCTGTTGGTAGCCAGGGACCCTGTCATCTTAATATGTGACTGGAATAAATTATTCAAGGCGACTGAAGCGTCCTGAGGCCTTCATTTTACCTTATCGACTGCGAGTTCCGGTTTCGAGGAATCACAATCACAAGTGAAAACTGAGTCACGTTAAGCTTGGAGGAGCTATAAATAAATAATTAGAATAGAAATAAGTGTTTATAAGTAAATATAATTTGTTAATGATTATGATACTTTTAAATAAAACTGCTCAAGATAATATTGATACTTTTTCATAAATTCCTTGAAAATATAATACTTGAAATTATAACCAAATTAAAATATTTTTTAGACAAAAATTAATTATGTGAGGTTTATTGGTAGCTGGGTTCGGCAGTCGGCTTCTATTGTTTCAATAGTAATGCTAGTAATCAGCATGCAAAGTCGGTACTGTCGCGGCGGATATAGCGGGCGCATGATTCGATAGCATCATATTAAGCGAGGTTACTGCTTTTCTATGTTTGGACCTATATTTAACAATGCAATTTATCCGTGATTAATACTAAAGATGTGTTAGTGCACGTATTTCTAAGATATTACGCCCTAGCGGTACGTGTTGAATCATCTATGTATCAGTGTATGTGCAGAAAGTGTCGTTTTGTATATTTTTTTGGTCTTATCTAAGTATGTTTACTTATTCCGATTAGTACCTACATATATATTTATACCAGTTAATATAAAAATACTTTATTCCGTTTTCTATAAAACACTAAATTTGATAGCCAGTTCTTTAGAGATCGTGCCAAAAAAATATTATCCCGACGTAATTGACCTCGTGACTCTTGGCCTCAATAGTCCTGGGGGTTAAGTTATTTTATAATGAGTTCTCGTCGTAAAATAAATTTAAATTTATGTAAAACTTCACAGAAATTGCAAATGTACGATTGATAATCCAATTTATTTAACATGGTTTTATTAGCTAACTTGTGTGCAGCAAACAATGTAACAACGTTACTAAGTATATATAAACCAATCCGGGAAGTGTATTTTAATCTACTTAATAATATTGTAATATCGATTTGTATCTTTGTAATTGAGAACGATCTCATGACCTGAATAGAACTAGATGAGATGTAAGAGTAAGAGTTGGTATACGTAATATTTCTCTTGTCTTAGATAGATAGCCATGTATGTATCTAGATGGTATAAATATCTTTTTAGTGATCTACAAAAATACAATGTTAGTTATTGTTTTGTCGCACTGATCTTATGTGAATTTGTTACTAAATAAATATGCCAACGTCTACAAGCACGTAAACACATAAACAACTGGACGTTATCCAACATCACTGCTAACACTAGGTATCTATTAATATTCTTATTTAAATCTTCGTTTTTTGTTTAGGTATTTAGTTGTACTATACTATTAGTGAATTTCATCTGATTTTTTTTATAAATGTAGGTATAATCCTCATAATTCAGACTAATAAAGCAGTATATAAATAGCAGTGTTGAGAGAAAGCCCGCCAAAAACCTCTCAAAGTCAAAGAGATTGTTTTTTTTGCTACTATACCTGTTTTCCCGATTTTTTTGCTACTATTTTCCCGATTTTGCCATAGGAATGGGAAGATTTCTCGAAAGGAGGGCGTCACACGTATAGCCTATTTACATTTTGTCTGAGTTTAAGAAATTCATTGTGATATTTCTTATATACCTGGTTTCTGCTTCTATTGTGTACACATCTTACCTGTGCAATGTACTGAACCTGGAAGTTAGACCAGCTGAGAGAAGAATTGAGAAGGAGATCCTGCGGTGGTCCTGACTGACTGATGGAACAATACACAGCCTAAACCGCTGGTCGTAGAAACGTGAAAGGAGGACGTATTCCTCATAATTGATGTAGGAATCCGATAAGAAAAGATTTTTCGAAATTCATCCTCTAAGTGTGTAAAATACGGGATTGTATGAAACGTTGTCATTCTCAATGTGAAATAACAGAAAGTGATGTTTAGCTTTAAAATAAAATAAAAGAAATATATTTATTTGTTTTTTTTTTCAATTTATCCCTTTAAAGGGGTAAAAGGGGGGTAATAAAGTTTACTCGTAAATGGGCAAAGAAATATTTATGATCAGAATTACCTACTTGAAACTTGCTTCTCAATACAATTAAATAAATATGTGTTTTAGCATTTTTCGAAATGCAATCCCTTAAGGGGGTAAAATGGGGGATGAAAATTTATATGAAACCTAACTATTTAGAGTTTTTTTTATAGTTGTAGCTCGAGCGAAGCCGCGGGTTCTGTTAGCATAATATACCTCAATATTACACATATTATGATGCACTATATACTCTAAGAAATTACAATAGCTCTCATAGTAGGTACTAAGGGGTAAATTCTTCAAAATGTAGATATTTAATGTAAAGCCAGTATAAATTACAAAACTTGCTAATGAAATGAATAGTATTAAAGTAAATTACTTGTCATAAAGAAAGAAGCCACAGATTAAGTGTGTATGATCAAGAAAGGATTCGATTAACCAGAATGGTTTGCAGATGAAAGTGAAAGGGTTTAATATTCAATTAAATGGTTATGATTTACGAATTACTTTGCACAATAAAGAGGGCATCGTCCGTGCAGCACTGACGTCGGCGCCGGCTATTTGCGTCGTATTTGACTGTTAGCTGTCAAACAGAAGATTAGCGGCCAGAGTATAGGTTTGATTTACATTATTGAGATGCAGAAAACACTTGAATTTTCGCATCAATTGTATGCATACATTGACCTTCTTCCATCAAATTGACTTTAAATAAAGAAAACTTTAAATAAATAATATGTATTTAGCCCTTTTTAACGTCCCACTGCTAGACACAAGCCTCCCTTCAATACGTGGGGGGATCAGGCTATAGTCCACCACGCTGGCCAAGTGCGGGTTGGCGGAATTCACATGTTTTTCTAAAACTCGCTGGATTCTCTCAGACATGCAGGTTTCCTCATAATGTTTTCCTTCACCGTAAGTGGTAACCATGTTAGAAATTATTCGCACATGAAAAAATCAGAGTTTTATTTGAGGAGATCCGGGATTTGAAACCCCTTCACTCGGTTTCCCAAGCGAGCGCGTTACCACTGCCTTAAATTAATAATATTATTCTTTTCGATATTTTTGTATGTATTGCAATTTAAGTATAAATGCATTTATTTCTTGGCTATTTAACTTATGCTTATATAGAAAAGCAAGCCAAAGCATACCTATTATATTAAAATTCGGATAAGTGCGAGTTTGACTTACACACCGAGGGTTCCGTACCATGAAATATTAAAATAAATTTAAATCGAAAAAAAAAATTTCAATTCCTTTGCGAGTGTCAAATATAACATAATTATAACCGAGTAGCGGCTCACCCTCGCTTCGCTCAGGTTCGTCGCTAGGTACGTTTTAAATAGATATAAATAGTTATTAGCCAGCGTTAGCCATATAATTTTTTTTTAATTAATAATATTGACAAATATTGACATTAATATTTATACGATACTAACGTCACTCAATTCTTTTGCCTTCCCGGAACCTCTCCACTAACACTTAAACTTTATCGTATGGTATTAAAGTTCAAATTGACTTTTAAGCATTATTACGAATCTTTTCTATGAGAGTATAGAAAAGTGTTGTATTTAGACTTTTTCAGGAAAATTTTAAATTTTTCTCTCCGTAAGAACCATCCTCGTACTTCAAGGAATATTCTTAAAAAAAAGAATTAGCGAAATCGGTTCAGCTGCTCTCGAGATTTGCGCTTACCAACACATTCAGCGATTCATTTTTATATTATAGAGATAACTGTTTGTTGCCATGATAATCGTTGTTATTGTTTGACAAATGATATGTAATATTACTAGCAGAACCCGCGGCTTCGCTCGCGCTAAAACTACAAAAACAATCTCTAACAAGGTAGTTTCATACAAACTTTCATCCCCTATTTTACCCCCTTATAAGATGAATTTCGAAAAATGCTGAACCACGTATTTATTTAATTTTATTGAAGAGTATTAATACCAAGTTTTAAGTAATCCTGATCATAAATATTTTTTTGAATTGTATTATAACGTGTTTTCCCATGGGAATTAGATAATCTCCTGTAGTAAAAAGTAGCCTATGTCACTCTCCAGCCCTCCAACTATCTCCACACAAAAAGTCACGCCAATCCGTCACTCCGTTTCGATGCGAAAGAAGGACAAGCAAACAAACACACACTTTCACATTTATAATATTAGTATGGATATTCTTTCCTTAAATAATATTCTAAAAATATATGACTGTAATATGTCTAATATGCCTTATTTAATTATTTTTATTAATTTATCTTTCCTTTTACAAACAGACAGTTGAAGAGTTCTAAGTTCTAACATACGAGATTTTTGTTCTTTTACGCCAAAGAAGTATAATCTCTTACGTGCGTACATAAGTACACACACATGTTTTTTTTTCTAAAAAATTTTAGGTATATTTTTGTTTTTAAAAATAATTTTTATTAGTATTTGTATGGATATAATTTTTTTTGTAATGTTGGTGGCGCTAATATTTGCGACACAGCTTCTTGACTTCTGTAATTACTATAGTTTTTATCTATTGTTGCTATTATGTATGGAATTTTTAATAAATCTTTTAAATCTTAAAATATGCGCCATTACCAGCCGTATCTTTTGATTGCGTTGACTAAAAAGTTTGTTTTTTCACAGTTTTCACAGCTCTAAAGCCTAGTTCGCATTAAGCTAGTATTTTAGTCTAGTAGCGAGTAATTTAGTAACTAAACGTGTCTGAACACTAAAAATTTAGTCGATTAGTTTAGTAAGTAATTTAGTCGAGTCAATCCATTTTATTCTATTTTTTTGGGCGAGTAGCAGCCCCACCACGCGTCCGAGCTCACTGGTTCACCGGCTAAACAAGTACGAATAACGAACCTGTCGAATTAGTCGAGTTCATTAATTGCCGCCATAATGTCGTTTCGCTGGAGCGAAGAAATGACTTTTAAATTTGTTTCGAAATATGTTGAACACGAATGCTTGTGGAATATTATAAAAACAAGCATATGAAACATTCCGCATACTTAGATTTGGAAAAAATAATGAATATACCCGGATTTGGCGAAATAGAAATTAAAATGAAAATTAAAAACATCACGTTTTTTTCAATCAATTTCACACAAATTTCTTCATCCACCTCTTCTAAAATAGCCGTTACGATCAGCTTAATCAGTTTATTTACTTTATTGCGTTGTAGGCTGTTCATCTTGCAAAACACCACTCACTTGTAAACTGTACTCGACCAAAGTGCGAACGATTTTTGGTGAGTAGCGAGTAATTTAGCTACTAAATGACTCGCTACTAGACTAAAATACTAGGTTAATGCAAATTAGGCTTAAGGGATTGCAGATCTGGATATTTGATATTAATTTTAACTTGACTTCTCCATGCTTTTCTGAGTCTTGACAGACAGACTGACGGACAGCGAAGTTATTCTATAAGGACATGAACGAATTGTGGTTAATTCGTTCATGTATAAGGATATATAAATATACATAATATAAAATTAATGGAAACCAGTTCCAAAGGTTTAAACCCTAAAGTAATTGTGAATATAATAATAAATGCTATAAATATAATAATAAATGTTATAAATTTTAACATGTTTTATCTATTATTAAATTAAATAATAATCAATGTTTACTAAGCTTATGAAATTGTGTTTATGCTTAGAGAAAATCATGTGTAGACTATATAGAAATGTAGTCATAATATAGAAATCTTATCAAAATTGATTTTATTTAATTTTTAATTGAAAATTAAAGGATAATACCTGATTTAGTAAGTTAAAAGAACCTTAAAAGATATAAACTAGGAATGCATTTTAGAAATACAATATTTATTACTATACTATATTGTTCATTCATTTTCTATATCCGGTATAATGCTACCAAAGAGAGAAGGTGCCTGCGGTGTATACGCCCGCCCCCTTCGCGCCGCGGCCCTCCCCGGACCGCGTATTCCGCCACTATTGCCACCCGAGGTAACCCGACCGCGGAGAACGGCATGCGCTCGCCAGTCATCGAGCGACGGTCTTTTAAGATGCTACAATAAAATTTTAAAGGAATTTTTTAAATTTATATGACATGCGCGCTTATATTATTATATAAATTTTGACTAAAAACAAACGTTGAAATTGGATTTCAGTGGTTACTTGCAGTGATAGTGAAGTGCGGATATTTCTCATCTTATTCTTGTAAGTTCCTTATTCCGATCTCGACTTGAGCTTGTGCTGTGTTTATGTTGGGAGCGCGGCGCCCGTTCCGTCCGGCGTGTTGCAGGGACGTCGCCCTCGAGGACTTCTTTTAGAGGTACAAATTATTAAATACATTATTTTAATGATAAATATATTGAAAATAACAGGAAAAAGCTATTTTATTCATAGATACAATTAGAAACTATTTTAGCCTATTATAATACAGACAATAATATTATCAAATGTTATAGATCGTTAATAAATTCTGTTACGAAACATCAGCTTTTATTTACGCTCAATCAAATCAATCGCTTTGTTATGCAAAGTATTTGCTAAATTAAAAAAAAAACAACACCAGATTTTAAAATATATAAGTAACTACATACTAATATAGTACCTATAATAAAGCATACTTTATTATTACATATATTACAAAATATAGTAAAAGAATAAAGTATATAGTAATAATTACGGAAAATATATGCACAAGAACTACATTATACTCAAATATTTATTTTTGTAATTTATATATATGACTGCAAAACAACTGCAAAACAGAAAAAAACTAGATTTGTACTTACCTACTAACCTCTTGTTTGAAGTCAATAAAAAAATAACATTAAATTACTTAAAATTTATATAATAAAATTATAAATACAACGTTTAGTTATTATATTTCACTTTTCAGATATTTTTAATGTGAATAACAAAGAGATTAATATTTTGCAAAACAATAAAATCAGTGGATTAGTTGTATAACACACCTACCTATTCGTGTTAGGTATGCTTATTTCAATCTTAATACGCAGTAATCGTATATAGTCATATTGATGATATTTTTAATAACATTAAAACAATAAAAACTACTTATAGAATGCATACGTTGTTTCATGTAGAGGTTAGTACTTTTTTATTTATTTTTATATTTCGTTTGCTTCACCAGTTTTGTGATTTTGTAATTGATGCGAAAATTCTATAATAATCTGTAGAAACTTGTTTCTTGCCAATTATGAACCAAAAAGTTTTTTTTGTTCACTAACCGAGCAAAGCGTCTCTGCTTCAAGTCTGGCTAAATTTGCTTTCCTCTGTCAGTTTGATAGTACTCCTCTACAAGTCGTATTTTACAACCGATCTGGACGAAACTTGGTAAGTATACAGGTTTTACGACTTTATAGATTTTATGATTAGAGGGATACTTCCTCGAAAAAGGGGGCCACTGGATATATCCTCTTTATGAAATCCAATTTACGTGGTTCTTCTTTTATTTATCACTTGCGACTCATCCTCGCTTCGCTCGGGTTCGTCCCTAGCTTGCTTCCCAATACAAACTTTCATCCCCATTTTCACCCTCTTAAGAGATGATATCCAGGATAAAAAGTATCCTATATCCTTCCCAGGGTCTCAAACTGTCTTCTTACCAAGTTTCGTCTAAATAGATTCAGTAGATCCAGAGATTACCCCCTACAACGTCACAAACTCACAAACTTTACCTCTTTATTTTTATAGATTTAAGTTGGTCTCATAGAAATTTGATGATGATCTAATGAGGACCTTCGGCGTGATGAACAGCTCATCTAAATGCAGTAATATAAATTGCTCACATGGCTTTAGTCGTATATTAATTAATTATTAATTGTTACATAAAAGTTCGTGCTCGCGAGGTTTACATTTCGCAGAACTACTAACTATATTGCCTACATTGTAAACATAGTTAAACCTATATTCCGTTAGCTATTACTTTATACTTATTGAACATTATCAGTTGAATTACTAGTGAAAAGCGTAACGCACGAACGGTGAAGTCATTGGCCATAGAGATGATGTCACAGATTTTGATCACGCCGTCTTATCTAGCTTACTGCGGAACAGTCATTCTCTCTCAGCTTTGTTTAATTATTATATTTTTTGTTTATTTATAAATTTATAATACAGAAATAGACAGTTATATACTTTGCTTTATAATAAAAAACTATCAAACTGTTTTGACTATGTTACATGTGTTGAAATTATGAAAACAGAAAAATTGCACTATGTATATATGTAATTACTTTTTTGTCTAGGGTATAATGACAGTGTCGTAAATGGTGGAATAATTGCATTTAAATACATTTTAAAAGTTAATTATTCATCTTTAATAGTCGTTTTTTTCTTGAAATTTATATGGGACATTCCTCGCATTATTATAATTTATAATGTACTAGCATTGCCCGCGGCTCCGTCTGCGTTCAGATGACCAAGATCCAAATTCTTAGGTTTTACATATTAGTACACTCTTACATTGCAGTTTTTGTATTTTTTCTCAGAAATGAGACATTTTTCTGCGGTATAAAGTATCCTATATGTTGACCCGGAATCTCTTCAAAATCCGTCCAGTGATTTTTCTGTGATGCGGTAACAGGCAGACAAACAGACAGACAAAAATTCTAAAAACTATAGATTCGGCCTCTGTATCGATAATAATGTTTATTTCTATAAGATTTTCCAAAAAATATTTAATGTACAGATTCTGCTTTGTTACAATTTTATTATATGTCTAGATAACCTATTCAATAAAAAAGAACCAAAAAATCGCTTACTATTGGTGAAAATATCGTGTATATAACGTTATAACATACATATCTCAAAAACTACATACATATAATATATACACAAAAAACAATACAGAGGCATTGAGTACTTTCTCTTTTCTGAAATCTGTCAAAAATACACTGCTGTGTGGTTTATTTTATCTTTGATGTTATAATATATGAAAGAATTGAAGCCACGAATTGCGAGACGAGAGGGTATCTTTTTAGGGAAATATTTTCCTTACTAGTGGACTTTCACCAAATTGCTAGGAATAGTTTTAAATCTATTATATGTAATTTTAATATTTTATCCATGTCTATGTTAATGGAGTCATTTTTTTCTTTGTGCTCATTTTAGTATTTAATTAAAAACTGGCCAGACCAACTTATCAGGTAAATTAAAGAAAAAATTTCGTATCCTATACCTACATAAAAAAAATAATGCTTAAACTCCAGTTAGAGTAATTTATAGAGGGTTTATGTTTTGTGGACCCAAAAATATCAATAGGTAATATCTAAATATTACCAGTTAGAGGAGGTTGCTAAATATATCCAAAAAGATTCAAAATATTACATAATTAAAACACTAATTGTTATCTTTGCGAAGATTTAAACTCGTGTCTGTAATTCAATAAGGAAATAATTCTTTACGACTCTTAATAATAGATAATTAATAGATGTAATAATTGCTATAAATAAATTAATTTTATTGTTATTTTTTGTATCAAAAAAACAGGAACACGTTACGTTTGTAATGAGTTTGATTTTATCTGCATTTAAATGTGCTTCAAATTGAAATTAGTATTGAAAATATACCATCTTACATATTGCTTACAATGTCAAGTTGACCTTCTTAACTTGGTTACCTTGAGAACACCGAATGAACAATACAATTTTTGCTTTGGTCAGTAAATTTATAAGGTTTCCCTAAACATAATATACTTGCCGCTTGGATGTTCGGCCGCGTTAAGCTGAGGCTTCTCTATCTATATGCTATATGTACAACTTCTGATGTGGGTAAAAAACAACATTATAATGTACAAGTTATAGTTTGAGAACATAAAATATGTTATGATAATTAATTACATTTTATATATTTATTTTTACCTTAATAATTTTTAATTTTATGTAAAGTAGGAAACGTGTGTTAAAGTATTAATTTTTATAAAAGAAAATCTTTTATTAGAAATATTAATGCTAAATTACACTTAAATACACAGAAATCTTAATAGTAAGGTTACCTTATTATTAAGATTTCTGTGGTTAAATGCAATGCGTACTTAAATTTCTGAACTAACAAAATTTTAAATAACAAAATTTATACTGCTAAGGCCCTCCTTCCCCTAAGATTAAGATAATATTCCAAATGATAACTATCTATGCAGTACATTTGTTATCTATATTATTGCAAACTTATCTCATTTAACATGATTTATCCCACAGAAACCCTTTATTTCTAAATTGTAATAGTAGATAACCACCATCAGCCCTTGCTATTTTCTTTACATATAAGTATCGTTATGATTTGCTCAGTTTTTACATATAGTTTTTTTACAGAATAGTCGTATATTAAATACATTAGTTTGAGATTCCCTAATAGTTAATTCAAAAATACAGAGAGACGCTTTAATTTTATAAATGTACTAGCGACTTATCTTGCTTCGCTCGGGTTCGTCCCTAGGTAGGTTTTAATTTTTTTGAGTGGAACCCTAACTCTTTTTCTAAAATAAAAGTAGCCTATGTTACTCCCTATAACATTAACTATCTTCCAGTGAAAGTCCCGTCAAAATCGGTCTAGCCGTTTCAGAGATTATCCGGAAGAAACAGACAGACAAAAATAAAAAAAAATGTGTTTTTCTTATTAGTACCGTATATAATATCATATGCATTTAGTAAAACGCTGTTATTTTGACATTACAAACAGACGCTTCAATTTTATTTATCTGTATGTATGGATAAGTGTAGGCTTCTAAAATAAATCTACCTTTCCTAACATTTCCTGTTATTTTGCAATCCGCAAATATAACAATTTCCAGTTTCGATCCAGGCGTCATGTTGTATTGATGAATCGACCCTTGTGAAACCTTTTATTTATAGAAACTGTTTCCAAGAAGAGAAGTAATTCCGCAACTCGTGACGGCTACGGACGGAAGCTCTGTATTACATTTAGGCACTTTTATTACCTCTAATTACTTTAGGATGTCTCACTAATTGTTCGTTAACAAAAACTCTTATCATCATTTGTGCTTTATTACAATACCGATAAAGTTTGACGGAAAGCAGTATACTTTCTCTCGGCTAAATGTTATATTAAAACGATATAAATTAATTATCAGTATTATTTGAGATAAGTTTTGGGCAAGATTTTCTAGGTTTAAAATTAAATGCTTTGCATGAAATGTTTTGGGGTATGTATAACATTGTATAATGTACTATGATAAAAGTAGCCTACGACACCCTGCAGGTGTAGGTACTATTTCCATGGAAATCATTCGATCTGTTTTGAAACATCCCTTCGAATGCATAATGTTAGTAAGGATAACTAACT